CAGCTTGCTGCTCTGCTCCGGCACTGCCCGTGAGCTTCCCCCACGTCCTCGAGAAGAGACCGGAAGGCTTGGTATTGCCTAACAAAACGGTGACTGCTGGGGAGGTGCGGCCCCGTCAAATCCAGTCCCTGCCTCCTCCGTGGCGGGGACTGGCCAGCCAGCTGCCGCAACACCTTCTGTAGCGCACGGGCCCCGCGTCCCCTCCCGCGGGACCCCGGGGATAAAATCATGCCACAGACATTGGGCTCCCAACGGGGCTGTCCCCGCTGAACGAGGGCCCTGTTTGGCTCGGCCAGCTCGTGGTGGCTTCCTGTGAGCGCCTGGCGGCTGGAGCAAGGCCAGGAACCCCGGCATTTGGCCGTTGGTGATCTCCGTCTCCGTGCCAGCAGGCAGGGACCCATCGCGGGGGGGATCGGAACCAGGAATCCCGATCGGACGGGCTACACAGGCCACCAGATGAGGAGCCAGACCCCGCTGTGGGGCAGGGCTTTGGGCCGTGTCTCTAGCTCTGCTTCTCTCCTCCCGCCAGGCGATCAGTCCCTCAAGGCCCAGAATTTACGGCTGAAGCTCATCCACATCAACGCTGCTGCCAAGCTGGAAAGCCCCGACTACCGGGGGCCGTTCCTGCCGGCAGAGATGCTCAGCCCCGCGGAGCCGGCGGGAGAGAAGGTCACCCTGCTGCAGAGCAGCCTGCGGGAAGCATTGGCGGGGGTGCTGGGGAGCCGGGAGAACGGGCGCTTCGACGCACGCACCATCTACGGCTGGCAGATCGGTGAGTGCGCCCTCTCCCCGCCTCCGTGGGCCAGCAGCGGGACCCCATCGGGCTCTGCCTGGCGGAGGGAATTGAACTTGAGGGCTCTGGTACGGCTACCGGGCTTTATCCGCCCCCCCCCATTCTTCAGCCTCACACCCCTCTGCCTCCTCATCGCAGCTGCCCTGTCTCGTCCCGGTCTCCTCCCAGGACTTGCCTCTGAAGGCAGAGCAGAAACCCCAGCCCAGGGCACGGTTGTGGGTAGCAGATGCGGGAGGAAGGCCCTCCTCCCCCCGCCGGGGCAGCCCTGAGGCT